ACATTTACAAGTATGTACTGTATTTACAGTACATGCATTCGTAAATTTAGATTAACTTTTTTTTGTACTATATTAAAAACTAAAATTTATTTGTTTGTAAGCTTAAAATAGATTTTTATTAACCATATATTATTAAAAATGCATTAATAAATAAAATACAGAACCGGGAATGGTAATTTATGGTTTAGCCTAGTTACAAGTAGATTCGGAGACAAGTAAATTCGACTTACGTCGTTTTCCTGGAACCAATTACCGACGTAAGGCGAGGTATACCTGTATATTAATTCGCCTAACTTGATACCAGATTTTGAAAAAAGAAAACAATCGGATATTAATCTTATTTAGAATACAGTATTTGGAATATCCTCGAAAAAAATTAGATAAAAACAACAAAATCCTTTACTGTTAAAAAGGTAATTGCAAAATCATAACACCTTAGTTAATTTATTCCGTGTTTATGAATAGGAGCACAGTTTAACCCATATTAATAATAATATAATTTAAGTTTTTTAGATACAGGACGATTCTATTAATGACTGTTTTCTATCATCATCTAAACGCTAAATAGAAAAAAATGCACATAATATATTGTTTCTTTCGATAAGTGAAAAATTTTATTTTAAATTATGACGATAAATATAGTACACTTACCTCCGTGTCCAGTGTAGCATGCTACAAGTATCCAAATTATCGAAGCAATCCACAGAAATGGTGAAAGTATTTGATGTATACGCAAAGGTATTTGATTTGGATACGGATCAGTAACATAACTATGCAAACCAAAACATACATATCCCAGAAAAATACTAGTTACAATCCAACAACAAGTTACGAAAATCTAAAAATAGTTTTAAAAATTTATTGAAATATTAATTTTTAAATGAAATATCAAGTTGCGAACACTTCACAATTTTTTCAACAAATATAAAAAATAACATCACTAAAATAAAAGCCGATAACATAATACGTACTTTACTAAATTTTATTTTAATCTTCTTCCGTACTGTACATCCAATCAGCATACCCAAGCAATACGAACTCAAATGTGTATATTGTGGCCTTTCATACACGTGAAGAAAGTAATCAGTAATCATTCTGAAAATAATTTTAAAGTGTGAGAATACTGGAAATTTGTTACAATCGTCTACAATTAATTGAAGCACATATCTAACATGACAAAAGAAATTTTACAGATCAAACTACTACTTTTGCAAAATTTGAACACACGATTGCCCTTTATCTCCGTACGCCCTCGAAGTTTAACAACCAAAATTACTGGCATATAATACCCAAACAACTTTACAAAATTTCAGAAATTTTTGTCACAAAGCACAGGAGATATTAAGCTTCAAAAAAATAAATAAAACGTACCCCACACACACCTTTATATACACACACGACTATCATTCATACATACAGAAAATCACCCTGGATTTTTTTTGTATTTCTCAACGTTTCAAGGTATCCTGAATCCAAGAATATAAAAATCATGAGAGGGTCATTTTTTGACCTATTGTCACACTTTCTTTCTGTTATATATAACACAGCCAGGAAAGTAAAAATAAGCAAAAACTACAGTAATTTATTATTGTATTAATGTTATCTTTTTATGTTTATTACACTATAATTTTAAAATTTATCTTCTATCTTTTCCCGGATTTAATTCTTTATCTTTGCATAATTCTGATCACTAATGATCTTCTGATCAAAAATTCGCACACTGTATTTTACTATTATTTACTTAACAACAATACCAAGACGTTCCATGGTAAAGAAAAATGTGAATACATATATAAATATGTTTTAAAAAAGCATTTAAAATATTACTATATAAAATATATACATACGTCATCTTCGAGTCTATTCCAAACATTAATACTAATTCATTCTTTATAGAGACATATAAGAAATTTACAAATCCCGTTATTGTCAAAACAATAATAACTGCAAGTCCAATTTTAGGCCACCTGCGAAAAATTATATGCCATAATTATCAATTTTATATATAAATGTACTTTTAATATACAAATATATAATGCCATTAGATAAAAGTTTTAATATATAATTAGATTATTACTGTTAAGTATTCGATTTTATAAATATATTACAAATGAGAAATTACAATTAGAGCAAGATAATTTCTTAGAAGGAGTTATTAACACAAAACTTATAATGAAAGGCGATCCAAAAATTAGGAAGGAATTTAAAAATTCATATCAGTGAATTTCGATCATAAGGGCGTACGATTTTCATAAAAAGAATAACACGGGATTTTTTGAAGTAGAAACATTGTATGCATATTTACTTAAATTTTTCTCCAGGCTCTCTTTAGCGGAAAAATGTCTTATGTCGCATCAAAGTGATTGTTATAAAGAAAAATGCAGGGGAAGAAAAATAAACACAATTGCAACATTCATAAGGATAAGACAAGAAAGTGAGCAGAAATAAATTGCGAAATAACTTTTTTTTATTTCACACAGTTTATATGGAGGCATGTTTTCGGTATAGCCTGAAATCAAACTGCACGGATCACGAAGATAATGTTTTAACAATAACGAAGCTTCTAGAGTTATCACGTATACCAAAGCTTCTTAAACCCCATTTCGGGTCGCTTAGCGAAATCTTGGGGTCGCGAGATTTTAATGCAAAATATGAAAAATAATTCGTGAGAGTTTGAAAATGGCATGCTTCGTGTCACAGGTTTCGTGAGTTGCGCTTTGTGTCACTTCTGGTGCAGCGAGACAACGATTCAAAACACTGTAGTGTGAACTAGTATAGTGTTGTCACTTTTCAGTGTACATATTCACTTGTCTCTGTTCCATTGTAACACAAGAATGAACTGTGGTAGTACATAATTATTGTTTTTTGCAAATTTGTATATATTTATTTTATATTTTTTGGGTCGCGACAAAAATCACAATCATAAATGGTGTCGTAAATAAAAAAGTTTAAGAAGCCCTGATATATACCAAACAGGCAGAACTAGGAGACAAAAACAGACACGAAAACGACACTCCCGACCACAGCTAACACGACACGACGACAAGAATGGAAGATCAATCATCTTGCCCATCCATGCTACAATAAAGACTCTACATTTTTATTATAAACTAGCAGGTAGGCCAGGCGTTGCTCCGGCAAAAGTAACGGTAGCGAAGATTAAGATTACAGTAGAGCGTGGTTTATCCGAAAGTCGGTTATCCGAAAGAATTCCATTCGGCAAATTTTAATTTTCGCTAGTGCTGTGACGCTGCAATCTTTGGCTATATCTTGGGCTACTCCAATATTTTTTATGTTTGTGTGTGTTTTAGCTGGCAGCACTGTCACTTTTGTGTGGTGTTTTTTTTTGAGGACTGTGTGTCGTGCTGAATCGAACGTTTTTGATACTAGATAACTTCTATAGTATATTTTTTTTGTTTTTATATTTTTCAATATACTTATTTTGTTTGTAAAAAATAAAGAAATAATTTTTAACGATACAATAGCCACGATTATTATTGTAAAAAGTTTACGTTAGGCTTAACATCGACGAAAATTCAAAGCGAAGCGACACGCAACGGAGAAAAATTTCAACACGGGATAGGTTAATGTATTTTTTCGTACATAATCGGTTATCCGAAAAATAAGTTATCCGAATAACTCCAGTCCTCAATTGATTCGGATAAACGACGCTCTACTGTATTACGTTATAGTCAACCTTATCCGTTTTCACATAATGCATCGTTTTCACGTTTCTAGACTAATTACAGATTTTATAGATGGCTCTAAAATTATGTTCGATTTCCTGCAAAAACGAAAGAAACTGCATCTGCCTCTTGCAAGTCGCTTTCTCTTAACAATTCCATTGTTACGTAACACTTCCATTGTTGACACTTTCATCGTTAACATTGACATTGTTACTTAACACTTCCATTGTCGGAACCTTAATCCTGTCTCTCTCTCCCCGGGGGATAATTTCGAAAAAGCCCTTCTTAGTGTGCGTTTTCGTGACGTACCAAATTTCGACTTTCAACTCCTAACCGTTTGGGCTCTGTGCTTATTATTAGAGTATTATCATTATCATTATCAACTCGTCTCGATTATATATATAGATAGGTGTCATCTAATGGCAGAAATCGTAATTGAAGTTTGCATAGAAAGTACTGACGGGTAAAGTACTTATTTGTTAATAATAGAAATAAGTTATTGTTATTTTTAAATAATTGTGTTAGTGGTGCTGGACGATGACTTCAAGACCACGGATGTTTGATAAATCGATTGATTCGTGCAGTCGTCAGCGATTGATCGATGGTTACTTATGGTCTTAGGGAGGCTTTTATAAATTACGTAAAGGAAAGAGCTGGGGATGGGGTGTCTATAACAGCGTTACGAAACGTTACATGATATGTAATGTTCGTTACACAGCTTTACATAATATCTGAAGATGCATATTGTTTTTGTAGGAATATTGAACAAAACAATTAAAACCAATAATTTTGATGCCACTGGTATGCCAATAGCAGAACTAAAAGCAAAATAATTAATTTGGACTTTCTAAGTATCTTGCTTCCATCGCTACTGTTTGCATACGAATGGTATCAAGATTATTGGTTTCAATTTTCTTGTTATCTGAGCAATGTAAATTATCGAATTAACTAACATTACTGATTCACAAGCGCGTGTTTTAAAGCTGTACGAAACCAAGACTAATTAAAATCTCTTTTTCCAGGAGGTTATTGTATCAACTCGTTCTTCACTACTAAAGAAACAAGTGTTTAATTTTCAAATATTTCAAGGTATTATCAAGGAACTGTATTCTGTTTACGGCCACGTCTTCATATCGAAGTATATCTTAATTGTATTGTATGCTGTTTCCGAAATTAACTGATATAAATTTTTAAATTAATTCATGGTTGTTTCCATTCATTCTGTATAATTAAATAAAATTTCTTACCTATCGTAGATGAAGAATATCAGTGTTGTAAGAAGAGTTAATTGCATTAATACATTGGCAAACCATAAAACACTTATAAACTGTAAATAAAATACATTAAAAAATCATTACTTCTATATTTGTACCAATTCATTATAATACTTAGCATTAATAATTACTTCAAATAAATGTATGATCCAAACATTGACGTGTGGTTTACTACTCATAATTCACACAATATTTTCGTTTAACAATTAAATATACTAATGTCAAATTTTGTAATTTCATGATAACTCTGAATTACAATAAATTTCATACATACATGCTTACAAGAAAGTAAATTCTTACAAAATTTAGGCCTATAATAATTAATTACAATAACATTTTTCAGAAATCTGTTTCATTTTCAATAACTTTTAACTTTATTTTTAAAGTTGGTTCATTGAACATTTATATAAAAGTGATCCAAAACTTAGGCTAAATTTCAGAAATTCATAAACTAATAAATTTTTATCATAAACAAACGCTGTTTTCACAGAAATGCTCAAAAAAGATGTAATGTGTTTGATTTCAAGTAAAACATTTTATGCAAAAGTTGATTACAATTATTGTTCTTGTATGTGGTTCATTTCTAATAGAATAATCTTGAAAATTTTTCTTTTCAATTCACCTTTTTCCTGCTCACCGAGAGACGAAGCCACTGAACACTGATAGTTGGTGGCAGGTTTGAGCCTGATCAGAGGTCTACCACGTGTATTTTTCTCGTTTTTCATAGAACGTCTTCCAGGAGGAACCTCCCTCCCTCTTAGTAGCGATTTCATAAGTTGCGTTATCTTAGTTCATCACTCCATTTCATTATTTCTCAATTGCTTTTGTAATGAGTTCTTCACGCTTTAATCTTTGTCTCTAAAGGCAGAAATTGTAACCAAAATTTGCATAAAATTCATTAAGATATGAAATTTTAAAGTTGTGCCTGACTTTTGGATCACCTTAATTTTTTATACTGAATAACGATTGTTGAGGTGAATGAATGATTATCCCAATTTTAATTTAATTTAATTTTAAATAAATTGTAAGAATATAATAATATAACTGCATTAATTTTGTAGAATAATTATTACTCACATCTATGTCATCGTTATAAAAATTGTAATAATGTAGAATAAATGTCAACCATTTACTTTCTGCCTTCAACTTTTCATTTTCGACGATGTTCCGGTGTGGACCGTCAACCAAGAGCGGCAAAATAATAACAAAAGCCAGATGAACACACACAGCAAAAGTCAATCTTTCAAAATAAAAAATATATAAATTACTTTAAAAAATCCAAACAATTTTAATATTAAAAAATATAAACAAACGTAGATTTAAAGCACAGTTTGTTTATCTCTGAAAAATGAGCGGTAACTCGAATTTGGCTCTAAAAAATTACTTTGTCTAAAAGTAAGTTAGTCACTTTGTTAGATCTTTTATATAATATCAAAGTAAATTTGTATACAAAGAGAAATAGATAAAGCCTCGGCCATTCAGATTTGAAGATTACATACAAAATTACAATTAGATCGTATATCTGCAGTATTCAAGATGGTGTTACGTAGGATAGTGGTTTTTCACTGATGATAATACAGTATTATTTTTAATGCCTCTTATATATATATATATATAAAGTAGGTTCTGAAATTGAATGGAAACAAGTTCGAATATGTATACTTTATCATTTGGTAAACGATTTTTATAAATACGAAGCTTTTAATGATAATTATATAATCAATAGCGTATCTATTGTTTTGTTTCCTGACTTAAACTGTAATGTTTAGGAGAGATGCAATTATTTTTACCAAATAATGACATTTTTCTCTTACATGCAAGTTAAAAATTTTATTTATAATTGAAACGAATACAATAAGTCTTATTGTATTTTAAAACTAGGTGATTTAAAATAGGTGTTACTATATTTGTACCGAAGGTTTAAAGAAAATAACCTGATGTAACAAATTAAATACGTTATTATCTGCATCGTTGCAGTGTTTGTATATTTTGTACACTATTATTTCAAAACAAATTATCTTGAGATATAAATCAAACTAAATCATTATACAAAGAAAGTTATTCTTGATTAAATACATAATACGCAACAGACATTTGGAGATATTCCTTGAAAGGAGTAACGATACGAAATCGCTAATTAATATATTTTCTTTTATAATTGTGTATTCGTTGAGATATTAATTAATTAATTTCAAGTATACAGATTTCTTAATATTGTTTTAGACAGTTTGAATTTGATATCAAAGAGCATTTACATCCGTAGCCTTTGGCTACGTTTTAAATTACGACTTGCATGATCCCATAAGTGCTCAATTGAATTCCAACTATGCAGTCTGAGGAATCACGAATACCCATTAATATTGCAATTTTCAAACCATACTATTTCATTATTTAACTGATGATAGAATGGCGTGAACTTATAGCTTATCTAGAATTACGATAGTGGTCTATTTTTTTTTCTTTGGAGTAGAGTAACTCGTAAACATCTGCATAACGTAGACACCAAGGATTATAAACAAACTACAGCAACTGATAGGTAGGAAGTTCGCATTAAATACTCAGACTTTCACTGACTCACTTTTGTTCTACGGTGTATAACATAATAACGTAGTCTAACAGTAAGTTAAACAAATCACTCACCATTCATAAAATCACAGATCTGCATACATCAATCGCGCATGAAACAACACCTACTGTATTTGTATGTATTAGAAACAGCATTTAATTTAGTAAGCAAAAATCAGAGTGAAAATGAAGTGCTGTCGGTAACTGGCGCCAGAGTTGAAGTGAGAAAAGGTGTACATGAAATCAGAGCTAAGTATTATTTTTTTACGATAACTTACAAATTTGTTAGAGTATTAAACTGAAAGAGTTTTTACACGGCATAACATTAACANTCTATTATTTAACTGATGATAGTATGGCGTGAACTTATAGCTTATCTAGAATTACGATAGTGGTCTATTTTTTTTTCTTTGGAGTAGAGTAACTCGTAAACATCTGCATAACGTAGACACCAAGGATTATAAACAAACTACAGCAACTGATAGGTAGGAATTTCCCATTAAATACTCAGACTTTCACTGACTCACTTTTGTTCTATGGTGTCTAATAACGTAGTCTAACAGTACATCTGCATACATCAATCGTGCATGAAACAAGACCTACTGCATTTGTATGTATTAGAAACAGTATTTAATTTAGTAAGCAAAAATTAGAGTGAAAATGGAGGGCTATCGGTAACTGGCGCCAGAGTTGAAATGAGAAGGAGAAGAGGTGTATATGAAACCAGAGCTAAGTATTATTTTTTTACGATAACTTACAAGTTTGTTAGAGCATTAAACTGAAAGAGTTTTTACACGGCATAACATTAACAATATGCAATAAGACTAAGTATTTTACAAATAAAAATTCGTTAAATGAATTAAGATAATTTACAATAGAATTATTCGCTTAAAATACGCACTAGAAACAAAGTAAATACAACCTGATATATCGCTTTACGATGTAAATGAAGTAATAGAGTATGGAATTCAATTCTTCACTCTTTCTCAAGTAGAATGACAAAAATCCGCTGAATAAAATAAAAATAAAATAATTAACAAAAATTTATAAGCAAATTACGATGGATTAAATCTCATTCTGTATATTCATCAATAAATAATATTTTTCTTAAATGGATACCAATAGATTGAGTATTATAATTAATTATTTTATCCCCTTGTAACGAACTAAAGTTGATACAATTAAAATTTGAATTGAATTGAATAATTAGAGAGGTTGCGGCCGAAGTTTTCATCTCTCAAACGTGAACGTCGAACGTCAAGTGCCGCTTACAAGATAGCGGCGCTTGACGTTCGACGTTCACGTTTGAGAGATGAAAACTTCGGCCGCAACCTCTCGAATAAATAATTGTTTGTACAAATTATGTTTCATTGATGTTGTTGCCTGAACTAATACGATTGATAGAATAATACAATACAATACAATACAAGGGCGATCTGCCGAAGTGGATGCCTGCCAGGAGATTGCTGTGGTAGATGCCTTCGATTGTTTTACGTATAGTGTTCCAAGTTTCAACGATGATCGCCCATATTTTGCGCCGCCGTATCTCATCAAACCAAACACATCGATAAATTTAAAATAAAAGAAATACAATGCAGTCTTAATCAATATGCTGATGGAATTAATTTTCTACTAAACCGGTGGAAATTTACAGAATTTCTTAGTTTATTACAAAGATAGTTTTCTTTAATAATTTGCACAAAATTAATTTAATTTAAGGTATGATTTTAATAAGCAATTGAATAAAATTATATATAGTTTCCATAGAAATGTTCATATTTTATTTAATTGTTATTCTCGGATTAATTTAAACTTACCTGAAGATAAAAAATGTATCAGTTATTGTGAGTGATTGTGTAGAAATTTCTACTGCAGGATTAGCATAAATATTTGCAAAGTTCAATATGTATTCTGAAAAACATGAATAATAAATTAGTTTATCAAGATTATTATATGGGAGTATATTTCTGGCATTGTTAGAAAAATTACACTTTTTAAATGTAAATGGCAACTCTACAAAGAAATACACGTAGCCACACGCAAATTGCAAAACCGGCAGAAGTAACAGAAATATGAAAATGATTCAGTTTGCGTACGTATTGAATCACGTGATACTCAGTTTTGGGCTAAAAGGCCAGCAACCGACTGGGGCCGTAAATGCTATCGGAGAAGCATTTACGGTGAGCGGTGAGCGGAAACCGAACTTTCGAAGAACCATAGAAAATGCCTCGCAGACCACCATTTAACGACTGGGGAAGTGAAATTTACCCTGGAGCTGCGCGACCTCGGTTTATCGATGCGTGCAGTTGCCACGCGTGTTAGGCACGACATGAGTACTGGATGTGTGGCGCGATGGAAGAAGGAACATCTGCCAACACACGGAAGAAGTGAAATAGGAATTTAAATATATAATTTTAATGCAAAGAGAGATAAATAAGAATCGCATGCTCATGACATATGAATGGTCAAGCGGCCGATGAGGACCTAACCATGTGATATCTTCCTACAGAGGAGCCGGATGGCAAAGCTGTCAAGGTGGCAGCCTATTGCTTTGGGGTACTCGAGATCCAGGTCGAAAAATCCTTAGGAATTTTTCAGGGGTGGGCCGACCCGAGATATCGGACTCTGTCCCTCACCACTCGGTCTACCCATTGTCGGCCTGGCCGAATGCATAATGGGCTTGATAAAAGAGGCTTTTTAGTGCCCACAAGACGGAAAAACATAAAAGAAAATCTCCCTCACGTGTATTTTCAGGGACAGAAACTCTTCGCGTTTTTGAGTTTTCCGAAATTTTTATAACATTTTTTATGTCCATTTTATATTTTGCTTTNTCCTTGCAGCCAGCCTGTCCGATCGCGGCGCGAACCCACGACGAACTTCCCAGTGTTTAGGGTCTGGTCACCGCTATGAGCGGCAACGGAGACCACTCGCCCACTGGTGGGGCTGTCCATTTTATATTTTGCTTTTCAGTAAGAAGTCTGCTAAAACATTGCACGCCATTGAGTGAGGCTAATGTAGCTTTATTGTATTAAATATTCTTTAAATAAATTTCTTAAACATTTTCAGAATGTATAATATTGAATTATAGTTGAATATTTATATTTACTGTTATATACGAGAAAATTTTTATCTTATTTTATAAACGTTTTGTTACGTACCTGCCGGAGTGATCTTTGTATTCATGTAAAATAAAATATGACCGAATATAATTGAACATATTGCAAAGAATTTAATGCCAAAAATGAATCTCGTTTTCTCATTAAAATCGGTATTTGTTAATTTTTTCACTGAAGCACAAATAGAGACAGAGGATAAAATCTTCAGATACTCATCTGAAAAGAAAGAAATGTAATTTATTAATTAAAACAATAAAGACTTTCAAAAACATAATATACCGAAAATAGTATTAAATTTCATAAATTAAGTTAAATTTAGTTAAAAGTAGGTACTGTACATACAGGTGTTGCTACACTTGAAAAAAGTTTGTAATGACTTTTTTTGCATTAACAATTCTTTCGTGTCATTAATGAAATCTCGTGTGTGCTTTATTTCAGAAATTAAAACATAGCAAAACTACGTTCCGATATGCAAATTANAAATCGGTATTTGTTAATTTTTTCACTGAAGCACAAATAGAGACAGAGGATAAAATCTTCAGATACTCATCTGAAAAGAAAGAAATGTAATTTATTAATTAAAACAATAAAGACTTTCAATAACATAATATACTGAAAATAGTATTTAAATTTCATAAATTAAGTTAAATTTAGTTAAAAGTAGGTGCATACAGGTGTTGCTACACTTGAAGAAAGTTTGTAATGACGTTTTTTTGCATTAACAATTCTCTCGTGTCATTAATGAAATCTCGTGTGCTCGTGTGTGTAGCAAAACTACGTTCCGATATGCAAATTATGAACAGATAAATAGCAAATAAATAACAAAGAAAAGCTCAATTATGACAAAAATAACAGAAAAAGTTTGGAATCATACACGGCGTTATAAAGAAATATAAAATCTGTATTTAATAATTTNTGAAAGTATAAAATTAATTAATATAAATAATTAACATTTGGAAACAATGAAAATAATAAGATCAATTGAAAATTATTTAAAATCTTTTAAATATAAAAAAAATATTTAATGTTTAATTTCTTACATTTTTCTTCGCTTACAGGAATGAAAAATTCCATCAATATGTCCAATATGGTTCCAAGAAGAACCCAAACGATGAAGAAACCAAAAACACCTCTGCAAAGTAAAAAATTATACTTTTTTTCTTAATTTTCCATATTAAGTTTCGAGTCTCAAGTAAAGATCTTATTCTTAAATGCAAATTTACTAAACGAATCTCACTGCTTTCAAATGAATATTTCTAATATAAAAAAATGTGACGGTTTAAAATTCTAAAACTATATTGTTCACAAAACACGTTGTAAAATGTATTGTTAAGAAAATATTTGACGAGATAAAACTGAGCGTGTTTTTAGAACAATGGAATTATTTTATTGACATTGTAATAAACTATATCTATATCTATATATATATATTATATATATATAAATGGACGTGTGTGTCCCTATATTTCACTTTTTAGCCAGAACTACACATCGCACATGAATGGTGTTTGTGTGTGGTAGTAGCCCCAAGTCTCCAATCGTGCACTATGGTGGTTGCGTCTCGATAGCTACAAGGGTGTGGGAGATATAAGGGATGAAACTGGCTAACTTCGAAAATGTGTAACAATGGTAGTGTTAAAAATGAAAGTGTTGAGTAACAAAGGAAGCGTTAAGAGAAAGTGGTGTGCAAGAATTACAGGCCCAGATGTGGTTTCTTGCGTTTTTGAGGGAAATCGAACATATTTTTAGACTCATGTAAAAATTCTCTAATTAGTCTGGAAACGGGGGACCTAATTCTTGCATTCTGTGAAAACGTGTAAGATTGGCTATAATGTAATCTTAATAGTCGAATAGTCGAAAATGTTTTGGAATAGTCGAGGACCGTTATGTATGAGTAGTGGGATGGTTTTTGAAGACGTGNCTTTGACCAAAACGAATTTCTTATTTTCGTCCTAAGCAAATTTTTCTTTTGCATTTAACTACCTGTTTGTCTAGGATTTACTTAATGCAACGGACTTTTGTTATTAGTCGATTTCTATAATAAAACATTAAAAAATTAGTGTAATGATACAAATGCCAGAAAACGTGAGTGGTGATTCCAAATTTTCTCCTAGGAGTAGTGCATATGCAAAATTATTCCTTTTTTGATCTCCCCTGTCCATTAATACTATTCATCAGAAATTAAGATAATCCCCTCTTTCTGTTATTTCATCAGACCGTCACATAAAACCGCTTGCTTGCAGGGCCAGTCAGAGAGTTACGCACTCCTGAAGCGATATACATATTGAGGCTCTACACCAAATTAAATCATTATATTAGGAAAGGAAGTAAATAAAAAGTAAACATTGTATAAGGCAATTTCTCGATGGTTAGGGAAATTAGCTCCCTTTGCCCCATTTGTGTTCTTTCTCTACACACACTGTTCTATGCAAAACGGCATCTGAACTGATGACCTCTTCGTATTAAACTATAAATAAATTTAATAAGCATAGTAAAATTAGCAAATTTCGTAAGAAAAAAACTGTCTTCAACTGTTAAAGATCGCAATTAATTAAAATCATGTGTTAAACAAAAGTACATCTTCTAAGTCAATTGTAATCGTTTACTCAAAAGACAATAATATTAAAGGCACAAAACTAATTCGCTTAATTTAAGAATACGTGAATAAATTATTGAAAATGTTGTAAGAGGACAGAAAAACCTGGAAAATATTTATAATTTTTTCCCTGACAGTTTATATTTATGTCTATCACATCTGACGTTGTGCCTATATTTATCACAACTTTCTTGCTTTGGGTCAACCGAACGCCGAGTAAATAAAACCACTGAATATGGTAGTTGGTTGCGGGTTTGAGTGTCACCAAAGTGCTGGATACGTGCAATTTCAGTGTTTGCTTCGCGTATTTAACACATAAAGAGAGCCAGCTTCTCACAGAAAGCCCACTCGAGAGACATCCCCATAGCAAATTGCATAAGTGTTGCGCTGCATTCTTCTATCAATCAAATCACTTCGGTTAGTATTGAAAATCCGAATGCAANTTGTTATTAGTCGATTTCTATAATAAAACATTAAAAAATTAGTGTAATGATACAAATGCCAGAAAACGTGAGTGGTAATTGCAATTTTTTCCTAGGAGTAAGCATAATTATTTCTTTTTTGATCTGCCCTGTTCATTACTACTATTCATCAGAAATTAAGATAATCCCCTCTTTCTGTTATTTCATCAGACCGTCACATAAAACCGCTTGCTTGCAGGGCCAGTCAGAGAGTTACGCACTCCTGAAGCGATATACACATTGGGGTCCCACAACAAATTAAATCATTATATTAGGAAAGGAAGTAAATAAAAAGTAAACATTATATAAGGCAATTTCTCGATGGTTAGGGAAATTAGCTCCCTTTGCCCCATTTGTGTTCTTTCTCTACACACACTGTTCTATGAAAAACGGCATTTAAACTGATGACCTCTTCATATTAAGCTATAAATAAATTTAATAAGCATAGTAAAATTAGCAAATTTCGTAAGAAAAAAACTGTCTTCAACTGTTAAAGATCGCAATTAATTAAAATCATGTGTTAAACAAAAGTACATCTTCTAAGTCAATTGTAATCGTTTACTCAAAAGACAATAATATTAAAGGCACAAAACTAATTCTCTTAATTTAAGAATACGTGAATAAATTATTGAAAATGTTGTAAGAGGACAGAGAAACCTAGAAATAAATTTATAAATTTTTTCCTGACAGTTTATATTTATGTCTATCACACCTGACGTTGTGTCTATATTCATCACAACTTTCTTCCTTTGGGTCAACCGAACGCCGAGTAAATAAAACCACTGAATATGGTAGTTGGTTGCGAATTTGAGTGTCACCAAAGTGCTGGATACGTGCAATTTCAGTGTTTGCTTCACGTATTCAACACATAAAGAGTGCCAGCTTCACACAGAAGGCCCTCTCGAGAGACATCCCCATAGCAAATTGCCTAAGTGTTGCGCTGCATTCTTCTATCAATCAAATCACTTCGGTTAGTATTGAAAATCCGAATGCAAAACATGTGTTTTGCATTGAAAATTTTGAATTGTTATGTATACAAATGACAGAGATTCTCAACATGCGGTGAGCGCCTCCCTTGAGAGATGCAAGTTCCTTTCTACTAATGTTCAATATCATTGTTTGTTTCTAAGTACAGCTACAGACGCTCAAATTCTATCCACTAGTTTTAATACAACACAGTACTATTAAAAACACTTAAGTTCTGTGTTTATCTAATTATCTCATTAGCATTATTACATTTTAAACTGTATATTAAACCGAATTTGACTACATGTAACGGTATGCATGCTACTTCGCTGTTGTCATCAAATAAGTATTTGTTCTATCGATAGAATAAAATACACTCTAAGAACTATGGTTTAATATGCTTATTCTATAAAAATGGCATAATTTAATTGCTTCTTAGCATATAAATAGAAACATCACGATCAATATTTAATATTGTTTCATAGTAGTTCTGATAATCATACATTTTTTATAGCCAACAAAATCACAAGTCGAATGTCTACTTATACACTGCATATGAATTCGATTTGAATGTATTGCATTAATGGTAAAATGCAAAACAGCACCCGAATGATATCCCAATAACATTGAACTTTCTATGGGACAATTCTGACCCTATTTATATGTTTAATATATTAAGAAAACCGAGAAAACTTTACATTGGTAAGGCGCAAAACCCCGATCAAATACTATGGTTCAGTGGGGTTTTTTTCATCTACTCGTGAATTATATACTGCATTTAATAAATTGAAACAATAAAAATAATGCTGTATTATACAGTAAAAACACGAAATTATAATAAATTAGAAATCTCTGAAAGTATAAAATTAATTAATATAAATAATTAACATTTGGAAACAATGAAAATAATAAGATCAATTGAAAATTATTTAAAATCTTTTAAATATAAAAAAAATATTTAATGTTTAATTTCTTACATTTTTCTTCGCTTACAGGAATGAAAAATTCCATCAATATGTCCAATATGGTTCCAAGAAGAACCCAAACGATGAAGAAACCAAAAACACCTCTGCAAAGTAAAAAATTATACTTTTTTTCTTAATTTTCCATATTAAGTTTCGAGTCTCAAGTAAAGATCTTATTCTTAAATGCAAATTTACTAAACGAATCTCACTGCTTTCAAATGAATATTTCTAATATAAAAAAATGTGACGGTTTAAAATTCTAAAACTATGTTTTTCACAAAACACGTTGTAAAATGTATTGTTAAGAAAATATTTGACGAGATAAAACTGAGCGTGTTTTTAGAACAATGGAATTATTTTATTGACATTGTAATAAACTATATCTATATCTATATATATATATTATATATATATAAATGGACGTGTGTGTCCCTATATTTCACTTTTTAGCCAGAACTACACATCGCACATGAATGGTGTTTGTGTGTGGTAGTAGCCCCAAGTCTCCAATCGTGCACTATGGTGGTTGCGTCTCGATAGCTACAAGGGTGTGGGAGATATAAGGGATGAAACTGGCTAACTTCGAAAATGTGTAACAATGGTAGTGTTAAAAATGAAAGTGTTGAGTAACAAAGGAAGCGTTAAGAGAAAGTGGTGTGCAAGAATTACAGGCCCAGATGTGGTTTCTTGCGTTTTTGAGGGAAATCGAACATATTTTTAGACTCATGTAAAAATTCTCTAATTAGTCTGGAAACGGGGGACCTAATTCTTGCATTCTGTGAAAACGTGTAAGATTGGCTATAATGTAATCTTAATAGTCGAATAGTCGAAAATGTTTTGGAATAGTCGAGGACCGTTATGTATGAGTAGTGGGATGGTTTTTGAAGACGTGTGACGCACATACTTCAGTTGATTTTTCATAAGTAAAAGCGTACGAATAACAGAAAAAAGTAGAAAGTGAAAAGTAAAAATATACAAAACAATGCCAAAGCGTAAGAAGAATTTTTGCCGTCTCGAACATATCTCAAAAGCAAAAGATGGCGCGGAGAAATGAAACCACGGAAGAAAGAAAAGTACTGTACATTGTTAACAATTGAATAATCAGACAGAAGAGCAACTTGAAAATTGTAGAAACACATCGAATCAGAGAAAGATTATGCAGAGGAAGAGAAACAGTCTTTTATATANTGCCGAAAATATTGCTGAAAATTCGAAAGACCATCCTGTCTTAACATTGACAGTTTAACCATGGATGCTCGCTTCCTGACAGTTTTTGTTGATGAATACTTTTTCTATATCTTACACAGAATCTAACATTCCATCCTCTGGGCAATATAACATTTAGGTTATCCATTCTTACTTTCACAGTAGTGTATGTTTCCAAACTTTGACCAAAACGAATTTCTTATTTTCGTCCTAAGCAAATTTTTCTTTTGCATTTAACTACTGTTTATTTGTCTAGGATTTACTTAATGCAACGGACTTTTGTTATTAGTCGATTTCTATAATAAAACATTAAAAAATTAGTGTAATGATACAAATGCCAGAAAACGTGAGTGGTAATTGCAATTTTTTCCTAGGAGTAAGCATAATTATTTCTTTTTTGATCTGCCCTGTTCATTACTACTATTCATCAGAAATTAAGATAATCCCCTCTTTCTGTTATTTCATCAGACCGTCACATAAAACCGCTTGCTTGCAGGGCCAGTCAGAGAGTTACGCACTCCTGAAGCGATATACACATTGGGGTCCC